CGGACGAGGTGTTGATGCTTAACATTCTAAGGATATCTCAAGGCAGCTAAAACCTTGCCATGTGATTTTGTCGGAAAAACTGGTGAGTTGATTTGTTCAGGGAACGGAACAAGATCACCAGCATTCTGATTATCAGACGGTTTAGTGCTAGTCACAGCAGCTGGAGAAGTTGCCAGTTGAACAAATAAACTGTGAAGCAGCAACTGCTTCGGGTATTAAAAAGAAAAGAGCACAAATAAATAGGTCAAATAGGATAAAACATATTAACGCCTATCACCTTTTACAATAATTTTGATTGTGTTTCGGCGGCCATTTGGGATAACGCAGTGAAAGAAGCCGCCATCTTCTGGACGCGCCGTCGATACCGTTAGCTGTAAGAAAAGTACGTGACACTAAAAGTAAATTATAAATTTTGATTGATCCGCAGTGTAGGAAAAAAGGTGATTTTGCAATTGACTTCGTAAATGCCAAAAGTTTATTCAAGACCATTTTGATCTCATAAGTGTAGAAAAGAGTTCTCAAATTCGGATGTCGAGAGGAGTTTCGCAAGTATATCAGGAATAATGGGACCTCATAAGCGTCGATATCGAAATGTTCTGATGAGTAGCTGATTCTGCTCCAAGTTTGCGGATATTCGCGGTAGGTCGACGAGACTTCCCATCTCGGCTGCCCCTTATTCCTTGGAAACAGGCACTGAAGTCGAACTGTCGTCGAAATGTTCACCACAAGATGCCCCCGGGGTGTCACTGTGTGCAGGCCACGCTCCAATTCGAAACGTATCGGTGGCGCACCTTCTGGAATTGTTATAAATTTCTTGGAACTCGCAAACGTGCTCGGTAGACTTGCATGTGGTCGAGTAGCCGGCTAAAGTCTGTCACTAGAAAAAGAGTTGATATTTGGTTTTCTTTACTATACTGAGACTAGCGTAGTTAATATGGCCGTTGTTGTTACTCGAACAATTATTAAAAGGGGAAACAACAATAGCTGCTACTGGTAAAATCCCGTAACTGCATTCCGAAGGCCTCCGCTTCTCATTGGGACCGCAGTACAAAGTGAGGTTTTCATTAAGTATTAATTTTGCTGTTACTTAGAACTACTAATACCTTCTAAAGTGCATACGCGCCAAAACGAATCTGTCGGCATCCTCTCAGTCATCACTCGGCTAACCAAAGTCTTTTACATATGTTGGCAAAATTTGTACAATACGTAGCTGAACGTGTATTTGGCAAACATATATATCACAATCTGTCCAGCACCAACGTCTGTAGGAGAGTAGAGCATTGCTTATACGTGCTACATAATTTTGAATAATTCCGGACTAACCATCACGACTGTGCGGGTCCAGCTCAACGCATTTTGGTAATTTTGGGAGCCACGAACCACCGGTGCATACAGTGGCTGTGCTTCCCCTCAGCTGTTGCATGCCATATTCCTGACAGGAGAAGATTAACTCCGTGCCATCTAGAAATCATTTTTTTAGTGATTGAGATTTGTGTTGCATCAAAAATCCCTCCTAGGTAGGTCAATTATGGCGAGAGGCGGCCTATATAAGGTCGCTGGGTCAGTGTTGTAAGATCAGTCCGTGTTGATCTAGTGTCGTGGCAGTGCAGTGTCTTGCTCCTGTATTCTGCGCAGGCGACGAATTCCACCACCCCAAACCCCGCCAGGAGACGACAATTCAGATCAGCGAGCCGGGGCCCTGGGACAGCTCAATAATTGAGTCGAAGCAATCAAGTTTGCTCAAACACAAACAGTACAGTGTGCATGATGAAATCTCGTGTAAACCAGCTTTTTCAGTCTGCAGATTGAATCTGAAAATACAGGTCAGGCAAGAGAAAGCCGATACACATGCCATGTCGAATTAGTCGAATTTCGAAGCCTTTTCTGCCGTCAATTTTGAATGTTAATTAGGATTTGTGGTTGAACCAAACTTCGAAAACTCACTGAATGGCCGCATAACCGTTGAAACTAAGGTAAGAAAGTTTCATTTTTCACAATTTTAAAATTGGATTATGCCACTATTTTTATGCGTTTGTTGCAGCTATGCAATGCAGAAAACGCATATTGACGAGAGGTTGTCTGTGTGTTCGTCTGTACCGAT